TAAACATAAAAAAAATTATCCATGCTTGATATGTATATTTCACCAACCATCCCATCCGTGGAAAAAACCTCCGAGTGTAATCTTTCAAATATTGTCACTATTGTTAGTCTTTGTTTTTATTTAATTTCGAGTAAACAATCATTACTCGGCCAGTGCAACAAAAAAACTCTACAAAAGAATATCATAAGAACACATGCTCTACATCAACCTAATACTTTCGGAATAATTTAATATATTCTCTCATACGACTATTCTAGGATTTGAACATGGAAAGTTAAGAACAGAAACAAGTCTCTTTAACCTAATACTAAGTTTTTTGTCAAGAATATTTTATGAAAGTTTGTGATTGATAGCACAAATATCAAATATATTGTTTTATCTTAATATTTTTATTAAATTATTTTGATTTATCAATTAAGAATCAATTAATTGTTTTGTAGATTTAGATAAACAAGTAAAATTTAAATTTTTCTAAATTTTTATAAGAGATATATATTTTAATTTGAATTCAAAATTTACTGTGTAAATTTTAAATTTTTTATTATTATACTATGCTCCTTGAAAACAAACAAACAAACAAGTAATTAATTACTTTAGCCCAGGATATTGAATGATGAATTAGGCAGTCCACCCATTTAAAATAGTGAGATATAGTTTTCCATTTTAGTTTTCTTGACGATGGAACATACCATTATCTTCTTAAACACATGAATTTAAAAAAAATCTATCTATAAGTACTTATATTTTACACTATTTCTCAATCATTTTTATAAAAAATTAAGAATAATTGATTGGTTTGATTTTATTATCTAAAATATCATTTCATTACCCATCTTTGTTAAATTTAATAGTAATGTGTGCAACATGTGATAATTATAATACAAATTGACAAAAAATTTCATTTAAATAAATAAAGAATATCAATATGTAACTATGTTACCTTATTTCAATTTAACTTAATACAAATATATTTATTAACTTAGAATGATTTTTTTTATCAATTAAATTATTATGTGCAACACATTGTTATGGGTATGGAACGATGTAAATTTTATTTATTTTTATGTTTTAAAAATATTTTTTAAAGAAAATTATCTTTACTTTAAATTAATTTTTTTGATGTCAAATAATTTTTTTAAAAACAAATAAATATTATTTTAATATATTTTTAAATAAAAAATATTTTAAAAATAATAATTATTATTATTTCAAATATTTTATAAGAAAAAATCTATCCGTACTTGATATATATATTTCACCAACCACCCCATCCGTGGAAAAAATCTCCTAAGTGTAATCTTTCAAATCTTGTCACTATTGTTAGTCTTTGTGCTTATTTAATTCCGAGTAAACAATCATTACTCGGCCATGCAAATAAAAAAATCTACAAAAGAATATCCTAAAAACACATGCTCTATCCTAAAAAAAATTATTGATCAATAATAATAGTTTAAGTCAAATAGATAAATATTATTTATTCCTATACACGTATCTATAAACTGCACTTACGGTGCTACAACACTCCCTGCAATAAATTATTATATACAAATAAAAATATCAATAAATAAAAATTTGTTTGTAAATAATAACGATTTTTACTGATAAAATATTGCCTCATTATTTTCCTGATTTTCATTAGTGAGTATTGAAAAACTTATAAATGAAAATCAATAAATAAAAAAAAATAAAATGTTATTATTATAAATAAAATTATTAAAAAATATATATTTATCGATAATACTCATTAATGAGTTTATTGGTAACATTTAAATTACCGGTAGTTGAAAGTTGAATCATCTAGTAAACCTAATAAAAATTAAATTTATAATATCTCGTACAATACAAATAAGGATATATATATGAATCATAATGTATTGACTGTTGATTTCTTTTGATAAAATTCGACTTTCTAATCTTTAATTGTCCAAGCAATTGCATGAAAACAAGTTGAAACTTAAACTAATTGACTTAGTATTGAGATAATCAAATTTAAATGATTTTACATTGAGCTATTTTTAAATCTTGGTGACCTTTATGACCCACATTTTCACCTACTCAATCGTGGCAAAGATTTGCCTGTCTCTTCTTGTTCCTTCGACTTCTATTCTTTAGATAAATTATATTTAAATTGATAAATTTTAAATTAGTAATAAATATTTGATTTTTTATTTTATTTTATTTTTTAATTTTTTTTTTGTTATATTTATTTTATTTTAAAAAAAATATGAAACAAATTACAAACAAAATTATTAACAAACTAACCTATCAAAAGTTTTAAAGAGTTACAAAATTTTGCTACTAACCATTACAATAGTTTTAAAGAGTTGGGAAATAATTACAAAATTTTGCTACTAACCATTACAAATGAAATTACTGATAAACTAAGTCCCTTGTAGAGTTCTAAAGAGTTTTAAAAAAATTATAAAAAATACCAGTAATAATATGAAAATCAAGTTAATTCTATTAGTAATACAAATTAAATCACCAGTAAAGTTAAATTTTTTTTTTTCTGTTAATGACATATCATACTCATTAGTAGAATTAGTGATGAAATGATGCTAATATTTTTTTTCTATGTGGTGCTTTTTTTATATAAATTTATTGATAATTATATTATTAATAAATTTACTGACATAATAAATCATGATAATAAGTTTTTTAATGACCATTGTCTATATGCAATTCTGTAAATAAATATTTTCATGAAATGCCAACATCAAACAAAGCCAACTTGTCGAGAACCATATCAGTAGACATGGTAATATATAATAATTAGCACGTTAATTTATTGAAATTAAGTATTAAATTATCTAATATTACATTAATAAATTGACTTGGTGACTGTGATCTTAACAACTTTATCTAGGCAAACTCATTAGCATATTCCAAAACAATATTATAGCAGAATAACAGAGCATTAAACATTGTAGCAGCAGTAGTAAATTAATAATAATTATTTTTTTTGTTGTTACAAATAAAATAATTAAATTCAAACTTCTTGAAAGTAGTTAAACATGAGGCACAAATTATAGTAAAGTTTGAATCATGTTACCTATGCTTCAATCTCTGTATTTATCATTGGTTATATTTAGTGTTGTAGTTGAATATTGTTTTATTATTTTTTGATTATTTTTTGAATTTTTTTTATATTATTTTGATGTGTTAATATATTTTTTGAATTTTTTTATATTATTTTGATGTGTTAATATAAAAATAAAAATAAAAAAATAAAAAAATAAAAAAAATATTATTTTAATATATTTTCAAATAATAAATACTTTCAAATGTATCTTTTATCACATTCCTGTATAGCCACTTCACACTCTAGTCCTTTGAAGGGTTGTTATCATTTATCAAATCATGCTGCTCGTACAATTTATTTTTTTAAGAAATAATTATTTTTAATTGTTAGATATTGTTTCACGAAAGATATTTCTAATTATTATGATTTTTTAATTCGAAATCAAAATCTTGAGTTAAAAATGAGTGCTGCTCTGTCATGCTAAAGTGTAAATGGTTGTGCATCCGTGTATTCTTCATTCACAAAGTTATCCTTTGCATGTAATATATTTCTAATTTAGTGATGAATCCAGGAATAGAGATTAATATTTAAGAATTTCGAGCAATGTCTCTTATTGATGGATGCAAATGAATAGATTCTCCTTTTTAGTATTTTTTTTTCATATTTTTTAACATGTTATTAATTTTTATGAATATTATGATGAAATATTTATATGTGAATAATTTTAAACATGTAGTTGATTATGATATGTATTATGATAAAATATTTAAGTGTTGAGCTAATGTGGTTAATTCAACCTTAAATTTATTTTGCGGATTTTGATTTTGATTTATCTAAGATTTATTTGTTTCTTTGTTGTGATATTCATATGAAATAAAAATTCTCAATCAATTTTATGTGTTTTTTTATTTGTTGTGAGGAGTATAAATTGTCTTTTATTTGAGAGCTGACTATCAGATAAGAGAAGACACCTTTATGTTTATTGCTGTTATAGCCATTCAATAATTTCCTTGGTAGAGAAGCATGGGGACTCTCTCTCTCTCTCTACTTGGAAATGCAAATGATCGAGACTGAAAAGTACTGGGCCCGATTATTTTCTTAATTTCAAGGCAAATTTCAAATACACGAGAAAGATATTGAACGTCTATGATACAGTACAGCTACATGGTACGTACGTTCTAGTACTGATCTTGCGAGAAATCGACTTGCTCATTCTTAATGTGTACATGGAAAATACAAAGAGGCTACAATATATAATTATTATGCACCGAAATTATCCACAAAATTCAAATCCTAAAACATCACCGCCGTCACCGAATCCACCAGATTCCGCCATGATACTATCAATGTCTAAGCTATGTGAACTGGTGGTGCAAGATGAGTTGACCCCAGAAATCACATCTCCATGATCGAAAGTAGAGATGCGATCATGGTCGTCAGTTGGCAAGAGATAATCGGAGGACAATGCTTGGTTATTGTGGATCGTTGGATCATAACCTGGCATGTCAGTGTCCTCCTTGTTGTAATATTCCTGTTTTATTGATTGGAAGGATGTGATAAAAAATGGGTGGTTTTGTTTGTTTGTCATCATCTGGTGGTGCTTACTGCTGCTGTTGTTAAAGCTCATAAGAGTGGAAGAATCTGTATGGAAGTGATCAATCGGGTCCAAGACAAATTCAGAAGCCTTCAGCAAAATATTCTTGCATGAGTGATATCCGTGAGTATAATTATAATTGAGTTAATTTGTTAAATGTTTGGAACGTAAAAATAACTTTTAATTGGACTTAACTCAAACTAGGACGTGAATTGGAATATCTTTCAGAATTTAATAATTCATAACAAGGATAAATATATATATATATATATATATAGCAAGGATTAATATATATATATATATATATACTGGAAAATATGAACAATAATTGACATTAATTAATTAATTAATTAATGTGTTGAGGAAAATATGAACAATAATTGAGATTAATTAATTAATTAATTAATGTGTTGATTCTGTACCAGTAATAATATTACCTCGGATATTTGGCATTAAGGATCATTTTCTGTCCATATTTTCTCCAAGCATGGCCATCGTCGGTTAGAGTGGAGGTCTCATTTGTCCATGAGTGAGAGCTTTTTCTGCAGGAAATTAATAAGTAGATCCAATTTCATAGTTAGGTCGATGCAGCACCAAACAAAAAATAAAAAAATTGTAGTTGAAAAGATTCATCGTAGTGCAGAGATCATTGCTTTTTTATATAGGGAACCGATTACTTACCTTAGTTTTTTAGTATATTATTTATTCTTACAAGTTGTAAAATAATTAAATAAAAATATGCAACTACCTTTTTCTTTTAAGAATAACAAATAGAACCAATATATTGTCCCCTCAAAAGCAGAGATGCCATCTTAGTTTCGTGTTGTCCTAACTATCAACTTGTCTTTTTTTTTTTTTTCTTTTCTTTTCTTTAAGCAAGAACAATGGGACTTTAATCTAAAAGAAGTACTATAATTACAAGCGACACAGCACATCAAGGGTTAAACTATCCCATCTACCGTATCGATCGACATCTTTTTCTTCTTTTTTTTCCTTAAGGAGGCTAATAGGTGTCTAAAATCTTTCTAACCCAGAAAACATAAGGATCCTCAAGCTTGAAACTAAATTGCTTTCATTCTAATTTAAAAAAAAAAATGGAAAGAAAAGATTGGAACCAGAGACTCTTGAACCCAGATAAAGGGGCCAGATTATCATTTAAACTTATTCTTAGTTGTTTTCTACTAAGCTCTACTTGGTAAATAAAACACTGTGTGTGTGTGTGTGTGTGTGTTGAGATTACCTTCTCTTGTAGCATCCTCTCCTGTCCTTAACCTTCACAGCGGCAGTACTCTTGCTACTCTCCCCGGAATCCTCTGGTGACTTGCGGCCATCCCAAAGAGGTGAACACACTTTTGTAGGCGCTGTAGTTTGAGAGACATCGTCATCATACCCACCTCCATTCAATATAGAAAGAGTACTATTGAAAGAATTCATGATTTCCCTGACAAGATTCTCAGCAGACATAGACCCATCATCCCCTGTGGATTTTCTCATTACAAGTTTAAGTTGTTTTGCAATTTCTTGACCTCTAAGTAGCTCATCGATTACCTTCTTTCTATGTGAGGGTAAATTCTCAGGCCAAGAAGACTCCATCTTTCTCTCTCTTTTCTTTTCCTTTTCTTTTCTTTTTGTTTTTTTTTCAGCCGGGGTGGGGTGGGGTGCGTGGGTGGGTGTCAAGAACCGATCTCTCTTCTCCTAAGGCTTAGTGGTAAACCACAAACGGAGCTCAGGTGATCCCTTTATGTAGGGGAAGTTCATTTCTTTTTGCTGAGGCAAATGCAAGGAAGATTGAAGGAACCTTGCAGGAAAATTCCACATCCATTTTATTTTACAATCCCCCGCGCGCTTGAATGCACGCTCTTGAATAGAGCTGAATACGTTGAATCTAAAGGGGTTATATCAGCATAATACCCTTGTCTTTTCTACACGTCATACAGGGAGCGCGTGAGGAATTACTAGATGCTTACGATTGTTTCCTCATGTCACCTTGTGATGTCACTGAGCACTGCGTCACTCTCGTGGAAAAATTTTCAAGTGGGGCTAGTGACCTTTTTGAATGCACTAAAATACCAATAATAACCCCCCCTTTTCTTAAATTAATATTTTTTAAAAAATCAACATTCATTGAACACACACTTTATATTGACTTGTCATATTTAAGAAAATTAATAAAAGTTAAAGTTAATAAAGAGAGCAAACATCTTGGAATGACATTTTACTTATTTTTTAGATTTAATAACAAATATTTTAATATCAATTTATACTTATAAAAATTAGGTTTATTCAGTGAATTATCATGCTGAATTAATGTAATCATAAAAAAATTATATTTTTTGTGTCATAATATCATAAATAATATATTTTTAGGATTTAAATAAATCTCTGAATCATAATAATATATATACAAAAATAGCCTTTTTTAATGTTAGATTAACCTTTTAATTAATTACAATGTGTTAGTAGAAGAAGAGGGCATTTGAGGAAATTAGGCTATCTGAGAATACGACAACAACTTATTCGTTATGTCTCCTCGGTCTTTGGTTCATGGTGATATAATAGTGCTCAAGTCACTATTATTTTAAGGTATGGATAAGAATGGGTGGGCAGTGATGAAGTGCAGTGGATCAGCATCATTTTCGATGAAGGGTACAGCAATGTAACCCCGTGGAGTGGGAGTTCCGTTTTTAGACCGTCACAGAGGAAAACTTTTTTAACAAACTATAACAATTAATTTTTTTTTTTAGAAAAATAGAGTTTAGGAGTAATGAAAATCACAACCGAAAAAAAAAGTTTAGGAGTAATGAAAATCACAACCGAATAATAATAATATATGGGTTCCACTACTCAGAGTAGCATATTATTTAAAAGTACGGTGATTATTATTTTTTAAAGTATTTTTTATTTAAAATTATATTAAATAATTTTTTATTTTTATTTTTAATATTAATACATTATAACCATTTAAAAAAATAAAAAAATAATAAATAATAAATAAGGGACTAGCGTAACCAATTCAACAAAATTTTCATAGTACGCTTTACTTTACTTCTGGTAGTGCAAATCAGTTATAGTTGTGCAACCATTTGAGAAAAAATAATTATTCAGATGATGTTACTTTGCAACTTCTCAAACTATTATTTTTCTAATTATTTTTATAAATATAGTAGTTTACCAAGAAAAAAAATATAAATATCCTAGTTAAAAAAATAGTTTTTTTTTTTACATTAACATAATAAGAATAATTAAAAAAATAACACAATCAATAAAACATTTAGAAAAATAACATAATTTAGCAAGTTCTAAACTTCATATGCGATTCACTAGCTTGTGAGACATGAGACTCACTAAAATAAATAATCAGGGAATTTTTTTCTAGTCTCTTAACTCTCTGTCACAAAAAACAATGTAAAAATAATTATAATTCAAAAACACCAAATACAATTCATCTACCCAATAAAATTAAAAAAATCAACACATTTCATAAGAAAAAAAAAATCCTAGTTAAAAAAAGAGTTTTTTTTTTACATTAACATAATAAGAATAATTAAAAAAATAACACAATCAATAAAACATTTAGAAAAATAACATAATTTAGCAAGTTCTAAACTTCATATGCGATTCACTAGCTTGTGAGATAATCACCTAACTTGTGGACGGGCCTGCACTATCCTAACTTGTTCAACTGGAGGATAGGTCTATAGCGCTCGTATAGGAATCAACATGAGATTCACCCCAACTCATAGATAGGCTTAGAATGTGCTTATAGATGAACTTACCTCTTTAACTATATATCCCATAATTTTTTTTTTTATATTCTATGGAACCTTCCAATAGATTTAGTTTGTCAATAATTCTATTGGTATATTATATTTTGTCGATAATATCATCAATATAAAACATTTTATTTTTTTCTTGTATTTTTGTGTTTCCTATCTATCAAAACTATAAATACAGTAAAATCATAATACAGAAACATCATTTTTGTTAAATAACATAATAATAAAATCACAACAATAAGTGTTTCATTAGTGTTCACAATAGTTCATTGTAAGAAAGAACCATAAAGATTATATTAAATTCAATTTTATTACATGTTGATGTTTTATGTTTAAGATCAGTTTGAAATCTTTTTAATCAGAAATTGTCTTTTATTCCATCATCGTCATGTCTATTATAATTTTCTTCATTAAATTAAAACTCGTCAATACCATCATTTTCACCAACTTCCATATATTCATTGCTTTTAATATATTAATTAACCCATCAACGTCAGCATCAACAAAAATATTCTCAGTAACTCAATATATATTAACTAACTCATCAAGTTTAAAGACATTATCTCTAGTAGCTACTTCATCTTTACCATCCTAGACAACTTGAACATAACTACTAGGTTTGATTTTCACTATAGATAATCAATTAACCTTAAAATGATCCTTTCTAAAGGAAAGAATATGTATGTAATAAAGCCAATTTCAACGTTGCAAGGCCTAATATTTGTATTAATTTAGACCAAATCATGGTGGGGATCTATTATGATTCATTTATCAGTGATATAATGCCAATAATATTTGAATAAAAAAGACTATATTATAGTCGTAGTGATATAACAATTCAATCACCTTTTCTAACTCTTTGTAATAATCAATTTCAAACTTATTAAAAATTGATCTTTTAATACAAACTCTACTATTATAGGTTTTTCTACCCTAACTATACTTTGATAATTTTTTTAATTGATATTTTTTAATTTTATCCTTCAATATTAATTTGGTTGAGAATTGAGCTTCTTGATTTAGTCTCAATTTAGGATTTCACGAGTTGCGAGTTTTAAGAATTTTCCCAGGTTTAGGAGGTTCACCAGGATTTACTTGTTTTTTTTAAAGATAATCTTTTTTTAGTTTCAAACTTCAACATATATTCAATCAGATATTGATCTTTGTTTTATTTATTTATTTATTTTCTATAGAATTTTTTATTAATTTTAAAAATGATCCAAATTATCTCAGTTCTTTTTATTTATCATTCTTTGTTAAATTTACTTTGATAAATTTTTAAAATTGATACATTTTATTTTATTCTTTAATATCAGATTGATTAGGGATTATTATTATTTTTAGTTTCATCTTTCAAGGTTGGAGTTTTTTATATTAGGCTCTGTAATTTTTTTTAATTTTTTTGTTTGTTTATCTTGGTTTCATCACTTAAATTATGGGTTTTAAAGAATAGCCTAGGTTTACTTGAGTTTTTTTTATAATCGTTTTTATATTTATTTAATTTTTATTATATTTTGTTTTTCAACATTCTATTATTTTATAATTAAACTTCATAATTATCCACTTTATTAGGATTTAAAAATATTTAAAGCCTCGTGTGTGGGACTTTCTAAATGGGTTATATATACTTATCTAGCTTGCTATGCTTAAGTATTGCTTATTTTTTTTCTTCTAATTTTTTTTTTATAAATGATTTTTATGTTTTTACTTTATATTTAACTCTACCTCTAAAATAATGAATAAATCTATATCTTTATGTTATTCGCGTTCATAAGCTATCATTTGCGAGTAAATTATTTCCACTCTAAATCTCCACCATCCCTGTATCGCTTTAGGGAAGAGCAAAAGAAAGTCCTGTCTTGGCCTCAATGTAAAAGGGATTGGTCAAAATTTTTCAACTGTAAAAGAAATGGATAGAGCAGCAAGGAGAGTTGAAGGAAAACATGGTAACACTTTCTTTTTCTCATTCCATTAGGTCAAATGTGCTGAAGAAACTGCCAAGCCTGCCCTCTACATGGAACTGTTATATACATCATTTCTTTCTCTCCATGCTCTTGTATTGATCTTTATCTCCCTTCTCCTCTTTCGGCCATAGACCCTCATCATTGTGATATCATCTCCAAATTCTGACTGCCTCCCAGCAATTTCACTTCAGCTGACACCATTGCTATGAAAATCAACTTAGTTGCCTGAGCTCCATCCTCTAAAGGCCGTTTACAACTGTTTTCCCTCTATCAAATCATGGAAATGTTACTGTTTGTGCCAGCCGATCATAGCAACCCATCCTGCCTTCCCTTTCTATCCATGACATAGTTTTGCTGCTTTCTTGTCAAATGCATGACCGGTTTCAATGATGGTGAAAAGAACTTGTGCAACTCATCTGAGGACAAAGAACAGAAGAACATCAAGAAGACAACAAAAACCAACTTACACAACAAATAAAAAAACATATGTCAATTACAAAAAAAAAAAAGAGGCATATTCATTACATGTCTGTTGTAGCATCTCTTATGGATCCCATAATTACAACCTCAACAAAAATCATGACCCACAACAACAGTTTACATCATTTATAACCATAGCAGTAACTTGACATAAAAGCATTGCTGTTCTCTTATTTGCAACTGGTTGATCTAGACCTTAAAATCTGTCATTCCAATAACATTTATAAAGCCTTACAATAACTTCCAAAATTAATCAGTTTTTCAAAGCTCAAAACAACGTGGATTATGCACTTCTCCCCAAGATTTAGGCCACCAGCACGACACTGATGCCCGTGCCATCATTTAAAGGGTTATACAGATTCGGTGGAACCCGAGTTGGAAAGTTCACAACATGTTTTTTCTTCAAAACATTAGAAAACAAACTCCTAATAGTTGTCAGCTTCTTATGCAGGTTACTTGAAGGTAAAGCCACTCCACTTCAAACCAGAAAGCAACCTAACAACACTACAAGGCTGGCAAATGTCATAGGGAACCTATCAGA